ATAATACATGATTTATCAGCTGGACATGGGACGTGAGTAAACAAAATTGGATGTTGAACATCAAAGATGGTTGAACTATGTTGAACTATTGAATCAATCAAAATGGCAAAATTCTTGGCTTTCCAAGTGTCATAAATCTTAACAAACCAATGATTTTTCAGGATTGCCTCAGAAGGCTCAACCTCCTGTTGCCTCACGTCCCTTGCCCGTCTCATTGCTTTGCACTACAGCCAAACGCCAATGATAAGTTGATGTTTGGATGATAGGAATCGTAACCTCTCTTTTCGACCTCAGATCTCATGGTGTTTCGGGTCATCCCAGACCTTGCCCACACTGAATGATCTCCCTGCTTAGAATTGTGCCACAAATTCCACTCACCAAAAAGATCATACATATTTTTAGTACTGGGTCAAAGTGGTAACTTATGCCGCGGTCATCTTCTTGTGCCGCAAACGGTGTGCCGTTGGGAAGTCATGTCATTCTTGCTGGATGAATCAATTGTTTGTGGCATTGACTTTTCTAACACTTTGCAGGGGCACACATGTTTTTGAGACATATTCTTCGTACGTTTACCTTTTTTTGTATCTGGAGGGTTTAGGATGGTAACATGCAACAAAAACTGGTTGGTGGTTTGGAACATGGCTTTTATTTTTCCATATAGTTGGGAATGTCATCATCCCAACTGACCAAATCATATTTTTCAGATGGGTAGGTCAACCACCAAGCAGTTACTATAGATACTAGATATATCATATCATCAACTATATAGATATTTACTATATATGTTCACCAAGTTCGCGTTCGCAAGGCCATCTACTGGGCTTTAGGCCTCAGCAACCAGTCGAATTCCTGGATCTGTGGCAACACATCTCAGGCGCCGGGTGCCCTCTAAGCCACCCAAATGGTAAATGTAGCAGCAAATGATGGGGTAAAATAGCATGTTTATGGGCACAAACGGCTCGTATAGGTATGTGTATACAATAATATATATATATTATTATATATTATATATATTATATATTATATATTATATATTATATATTATATTATATATTATATTTATATTATTATATTATTATATTATTATATATTATATATTATATACTATATATTATATAGTATATATTATATATTATATATCATATATCATATATCATATATTATATATTATATATTATATTATATATATTATATTCTATATATTGTATTATATATGATTAAATATATATATATAGATATATATATTATATTTTATATATTATATATATATATTTATTATATAATGGATTACAATGGGATTATATGGATTCGAATGGGATTTTTTGTGATTTGACAATCAAAAAGGGTAAACATGGTGGTATTTGGGGATATCATTGCGATCTAATGGGGGTCAATGGGAATGGCATTGGGGTAAGTATCAAACTATGACCGAACTTTTCAAGTTGATGTGTGATATGGAGTTTGATGTGGATAATTACGGTGATATGGAATACCACACTATGGTTTATGAAGTATTGGAGTTTTTAATCATAATTTTATTTAAGATTTTGGATTTATGTATTTTTTTGTTTTAGTTTCAATAACTAGTAACAGTAGTCACATGAATCTATAGCGGCTATGACATCAAGATCCGAATCGTCAGGACAAGTCCTCCTTGCTGGGGACCACCTTTTTCTATCGATCGATGTTGTGGAAATTACCAGCCACTTGTTGGCTACGCCAACTTGCAGAGAATCTGCCCGCACTTCGTATCTGCAATATACTTTGAACACCATTCAAGACCTGGTCAGAATTCTTGGTCAAAGCAAGACGACTTTTGTTTTTTTCGATCATGTTTCTGGTACATGTTAATTAATGGTATCTATGCTGACCAAATCCAAGCATTCATCAGTTTAGATCCCAGGTTTTTCGGCCTTGTATCATGAGCTCCACTAGAGCCGGTAGGCTTCAAACCCATCGATGGGATGTCATAACTTTTGGCGAAAATCCCCCATTTGTAGATGTCCCAACACACATTGGCGCAAATGGGATGACGAGTTTCAGAAAACCCGCGATTTTTTTTGGGTCCTCCAAGTAAGTTTCTTGGGGAAATTCCAATGTTTGTTAGGTAAATCCCATTGTTTTTGTGCCGGAAGCCTCCAAATACCAGCCCAAAAGTTGTAAAATTGACAGCTAATTGTAAATCTCTCGAGTTTGATGGCATTTCCATTTAGTTTTGTATAGTTTGTTGCGTAAATCCCAGAAATTGTCTTATGTACAATGGTGATAGTATATAAATTCTCAGGTTAAAATCCTATATTTCCTACGAATTTCCAATATACTTAGACCCTCCAAATACCACCAAAATATCCATAAAGTACCAACAAATTATGGGGTATTTACGGTAAAACACATTTTTTATGGGTACAAACGGATGGTCTAGGTACTAATCCCATTCATTCCCCACGACTCCCCTAACAAAAATCCTAGGTTTAATCACCATAAAATCCCAGAAATTTTATGGAAAAATCACAATTTTTAATAGGTAAATCAACTATAAATGGGCCATTTTCAATAGCTATTTTGACATAGGGTAAATGTCCTACAAATCCCATGGATTCGCATGGCAAATCCCATGAGGCCAGTGATGACAGCGACGCGGGTGGAGTTTTTGGACCTTGCCGTGGGCCGCTGTATGCAGAGGTTGCAACGATTCCCTAGGGAGTTCATGGTGGAATTTTCATATGGGTGTGTCTGAAAATGTCGTGTACCCCCTAAACCCAATGGTTTTGCTGATCAGACAATCCCGTTTTTAAATAGCTATTTCATTGGGAAGATTAACCCAACATTTTCAGACAAACCCATATGAGCTATGGTCAATACTCATGGTTAATAACCATTATATAATAGGGGCTAGTCATCCAATGGTGATTTAATGGGATTTATACTCACCATTATTTTTTTGGATCCTTATTATGGATGGGATGACCATCAACCATATAGTGAGTATTGACCATGGCTCATATGATTTCATGGTATGTACCCTCTGGTAATTCAACATGACTATAGAAAATCACCATGCTATGAATGGGTAAATCAACTATTTCTATGGTCATTTTTCATAGCTATGTTAGTTTACCAGAGGGTAACAGGGATTAATGGTGATTTTTATGGTGATTTAGTTGGGATTCATATGGATTCATGGGGAATCAATGTGATTTTCTGATGATTCAATGGTGATTTAGCAAGGAGTAATGGGAATGAATAGTGAAATTTCATGAGATTTTATTTGAATTTGCTGAAAATGATTTGATCTATTTTCCCAATGGGAGATCTACTACTTGGGGAATCTTTAGGGAATATCCTTGATCTTGTGGGGCTCTTTAATCGAATTCATGGGGTTTGCACCAATTTTGATGGATTTCCCTTTTGTAGATGAAGGTTTTACTTTAAGTATGATTGGAATCTTATATAAAGGACAATTCCTTTTCTGTGGATATCAACGGAGTATCTTTATGAATGGGTTATTATCTCCATAAAGTATCCCATCCTATATTTTGATCCATAGGTAATTGGATCTTATAATGCGGATATATAATATATATATATATATCCATCAATATTCCATCTGAGGCCTCTCCTGACCATATAGCTCCATTTATCCATTTATGGTGTCTATAGGGATATGAATATGACATGGATATTCCCTGGTATTGATTAATACCTGGAGGCGCGTCATCAAAGAATCATCAGAACTTCAGGGGGTTGTCAGGGAAACGGCAGGAAAAAACGGCAGGAAAACCATGAAACCCCTATGATTTTTGAGCAGATGCACCCTGAGAGAGATGGCAATGTCCATCACTAGCAACTCACTTCCGATCCATTTTGGTGATGTCTTATGGTCAGGTTCAGGGTTCCACAATCCAAGAATGCTACTGTTATTTTTAACAGATCATAGTTTTTTTCAGGTGAACAACCCATGTTTCCTACGTGGGTTTGTCTGGATATCATTAGATCCCATCGTTTTTTTTGCCATCACATGAGGGAGAACATGATTAATTAAGCATGATGATAAACCATGATAAACAATGAATTTTCATGGGTTTTCCATGGTGTTTCTGTTTTCTCTCCTTCCCAACCACCCTTTTCGCACCATGACCATGCCATGATGTCATGACAGGTGCCCGTCAAGCAGAGCAATCTCACGGTGCCGGTGGAAACGAATCGCGGGAACTACACGCATTTCTTGGTCTACACCCGGTCCAGTTTCTTGCTTTTTTAAGGGAACGGTTCGGAGCCCAGGCTGCCAGACTTCCGCTGAAAAAAAACCTGGGGTACTCTTAGGATTCTTACCCTCTGGTAAAAACTAACATAACTATGGAAAATCACAATTTGTTCATGGGAAAATCCACTATTTCTATGGCCATTTTCAATAGCTATGTTAGTTTACCAGAGGGTACGTCTTAGCCCTGCATGAGGGTCATGGGCTGGGCAAAAATCAACCTGTTTTGCAAGGTATCCAAGGCAAGCCGAGAATGGGTTGAATATGTTAAACATATCACGGGCTGAAATTCAGCAGAACCCCTATGTTGGTTGCTGAAAACCATAGATGCCTTCCTTGACCCTTCAAATATCACAAAAATGGTAATCTGACTACAATTATGGGACAAAACATCATTTTTATGTGTAGTTGGGTCTACGTTGTCATTGATCACATATGTCTTTCAAGTGAAAACCAAGCCACTGACTGAATGTACGAAGGTGACAGCATTAGCACGCGGCAGGTGAAAGGGCTGGGGATGTTTCTCTGGAAACAGATTAGGGACTTCAGATTTAGAGATGGGCATGGGTCAAAATTGTCTACTCCCACAAAACGGATAGCATAACAGCAAATCTAACACTACTTAGAGGGTCTAGGTAGATTTGTTCCTACTTATGATCTTATGGAAATGAATGATATAGATAACCGCCATCAAATAGATGACACCTGGTTTTCGCCATGGGTTTCAGTAGGTACCACCATGACGACTGGGAAAGCACCAGGCTTCGCGGAACAATCCTCCCCTGCAGCACTGGCCATCGATGATCTCAACGCCAGCGTCTCAAACCTTCACTTCGATGGCAACTTGACACGTCGTTGGTCAAGACGTGGCTCAAAAAAGCGCCTGTTGGTCAAGGGATGTCAAGGGGACATGGCTCCCATGTAAAATGACCGAATGGGAACATGATGATGAACTTCGGTGAGAATGTTTTTTTTCATGTTTTTTCCATATTATTTTCAGATACACATCCATGTAGTGGCGATTCTCTTTTGATTGGGAGGTGGAACTTAGGGCTTCATCACCCCAGTTTTGGACAGACCCAAATGTCCAAAAGATCTGGTCCAGCGATCGTGCAAACTGGCGAAAATGTTCACACGAAGCCAGAGTAGATAGTTGATCAACCAAGGCAACCGGGCTTGGGATTGATTGATGGCTGCAGATGGCTGCAGTATTTCACATGGACGGAGTTTCATGACGAAATTTGACAAGTTTCCTACTACATATCGTGATTATGGAGTCCGGATGGTTCCCGAAGTGGGAGGTACAGTACATTACTAATCTTGCCACCACACAGTTACACAGCATTCTATTTGATTTTTCAATTCTGTTTGATGGTTTCAAATGTTTCAAGAGTCAAACAACTTGTTGTAACATCAAAAACATGCGATGATAATCCAAATTTGACCAGCACCTTGTAGGTTTCCCGAAGTTGCAACCAACTACCCAAGTTTCATTGAGCACATAAAGCCGCATGTTGGGATAATTTAAGTAATGTTCTAGTTAAATACAAATATGGACCTTAATATTGAGTTCCTTAATCATCAAACAATACAGACCCATAGAATCTCATACAAACATGTATTCATAGATATTTATATAATAGATATTTATAGTGTTTCTGTTCATTGGACTTACGCTCATCGTGTGTGATCCATTGAGTCCCAGCGAGGCAAAGATTTGGACCTCTTGGACTTGGGAGGAGTTCCTTGGAAGTTCGGAAAGAGTTGCCATGGTCAAAACATGGTGAAAACCCTCTGGTAAAAACTAACATAACTATGGAAAGATCCACCATGCTATTAATGGGAAAATCCACTATTTCTATGGCCATTTTCAGTAGCTATGTTAGTTTACCAGAGGGTACCCGGAACGGAACTTTCGCAACAGCATCCGAGGATGGGAAGGGTTCCACGTCCCAGTCGAAAATGGGTAGGAAACCACCCATCCACCCAGCGTTAAAAAGACTGCGAAAATTGCAGCATTCATAGATTGACCTATAGGTAGAGTGGTGATTTTCCATAGCTATGTGACTTTACCAGAAATTAGCTGGCCATAGGGGGGTTCGATAATGGTGGTATCCCGGTATCCAAAATGGAAGATCCTACTTCTAAAGTAAGGATATATATATGGGGCCTTGGGGGCCTTGGGTTATGAAGGATATGGGGGTTTCCATACATGGGATCCAAAATATTGGTTTATAAGGGAAAACCCATCATGGGATAATTTTGGGGTACCCCGATTCGCTAGGAAACCTTCTTGGGTTATATGAATCCATTCGTCCAGGATTCACATCATGTGATATGGCTGTTTTATACTCCCATGTTTGACAGCCACGTGTTCACCATTGTTCCATGGTTCAACTCCTCATCTTCACAGTAGGAGCACCATCATTTTCCATCATTTTCCATCATTTTTTGATGGTTACGGAATGGTTACCCTGAAAAGTTGGGCCATTTTGAGTGGGTTCATCTTCCTGCAGGTCTTATCCTGGGACCCTCCTGTGGAACTGTTGCGGGTGGACGTCTATGTGGCCTACTTCGCCACGGGCGATCTGGGACAGTGGCTGGGGCGTTTCAAAGCGGGGAATTTCAAGGGGAATTTCATGGGTGATTTACACGGACTTATGGGGGGAATTCATGCGATTCTATGGTGGTTTTATGGTGATTTAATGGATATTATCAATTTGATGCTGATTTAGAGGGATTTAATTGCTCAAAGTAGAAGTGGATAGCACCCAAATTTGTTATTGGGTGATGATTAGTCATGACGATTTTTCACCACTTGCTATATTTCCCCTGCTTTCAACAACCCGAAAAACATGGCGGTCTACATTCCAGATGATTTTCCAGATCTGGTTTCGGCTATAGATATCAGGTTGTTTGAAAATTTGGCACTACCAAAAACCAATGGATTATCATCACTTTCCACTTTTCAATGAGAATTGTCATTTTGGAATATACCCCTTTCTCAGACACACCCAAGAAATCCAAGAATCATGTCAAGTTGGTTGATATATATATATATATATGTATATCCCATTAGATTCCCAATATATTGCCATTAGAATGGTGAAATACATAGACTATATCTATATGTATCTATATATTATTATAATTTATTGTATATGATTTAGATACATATATGATACAATGATGTACCATAAATATAAATAAATCTATATATATATATATACCATTTATCTATAATATATATATATATACACCATTATTATTATTATATATGATTTAGAGAAATTGTTTTGGGTCATCCAAGTGCTGACGCTGAACTTAAGCCTCACATTCCCTTCACTGCCGAACCCAGGAATCGCTCTCAGATTGGCCAAGATGTTCCCGTGGGAACGGATCAAGTCCTGATTCCAGCGGAAACTCCGCGGGGGATCTTTTCGCACTTCGTGTCTTGACGCCTAAGGAAACTCCGCTGGGATGAATGGTTGCGGTTAAGTCATGGTTGCGGATTTTGGAATTTCACGGGAGGATTCTGCTTGGAAGCACATCTCATTTTGGAATATATGAGTTTTGAGGAGACATTGATCTTGATCAGCTGATCTTTATAAATGCTTCATTGGCGACCAAGAAGTCGGTGTGACTGGAGAATCCTCCGTCAGCCGGCGGCTGACGTTTTTTTTTTTTCGAATTCATGCGAATTTCACATACAAGAAGAGTATAAATAAACCCATCCTGTGTATCCCACCTACCCTATGGAAAATAAACATAGACCCTGAAAATCACCAATTTTTAATGGAAACTAGTCTTCCAACCCCTATCTGCCAGGGTCTATGTTAATTTACCAGAGGGTAATCCAGGTGGTCTACACCAAGTCCACTTTGGTTGAGCAGACAACGCCCAGTAGCTTGCTGATCCAGGACGACAATTCTCTTGCTGAGTCCGGGGGTGGGGAAGTACCGGAAAAGCTCGGGGTCAAAACAGAAACTTTTTTTTAAGGGCAAACAAAAAGGGATCTACCCTCTGGTAATTTAACGTAGCTATTGAAAATGGCCATAGAAATAGTGGATTTTCCCATTAGAAATGGTGATTTTCCATAGCTATGTTAGTTTACCAGAGGGTAACCAGTAATAATAGTGACTTACCTACAATTCATTGGGATTTAACCATATTTAACCAGGAAATATGGTATATAACATGATATAACAAGCTATGGAGAAACTTATTTCCAGAACCCGTTGGGCTCTAATTCGGCTAAAAGTCCTGTTGGTTAAACGATCAGAGGAACTGATCTGGGGATCTGGAAAATCCACATCTATGATCCAATATGATCCAATATGATCTAATATTATCTAATTTAGATATCTAATTGGTATCCAATCTAGAATCTAGATGATATTCCACAATATGATATCTAATCTAGAATCTAGAATATTGTCTGGAAGACTTCCCCCAGTCATCACGAGCATCCCACAAAGATCAACATGTACAAGAGTACGACAAAGTACGAAAGATGTGTCCTGATTTTGGTAGGTTACTGTTGGTTCCCTCCAGACGACGGGTATAAGTATACGGTATACGCTAGAAAAATGAGCGTTCACGCTCTCTTCATGGCCTTTTCTTTTCAGAGTGTGGTGAATTTCTGATGTTGCTTAATTCTGACTTTTTTTGTTTCATAAACTAACAATGTTTTTCAGAGATTGGGGGTTGGATCATCAATTTATATCAACCATCCCATTTTAGCATCAAGCATGTGAATCTATAGCAAACTTGATTCTTTTGGTGCCGCCACCAGGTCCTTCTCCATAGTCCATAGTCAGTATCCATAGCAATCAAGGTCAAGGATACAACATGTTGATACATGTTGCGATTTCTGACAGGTGTCCTGCTAGGACACCTGTATTTCTTAGTGTCGCTACTTAGGCTTCAACAGGGGGGGTCTTGAGCTTATGTACAGACTATGTCAACGCGAATGAAATCCCAATTCAATCCTTATTGTTTCTGTGGAAGGGAGGACACAGAATGAAATGGTAAAACAAGGATTTGCGAAACAGCGGTGCAAGATCAGTTTCATGCAAGTTGTAGAGCGCCATGCCATCGTTGATATGTTTCAGGGAATTTCCAGGGACCCCAACATTCTGGGAGCAAAAGTGTATGGGAAGACACATTGGGAATAGGACCATAGGATGGAATGGGGGTTCCATCCTTCCATCCGAAATGCCGATGACATGCACAACTCTTTCGCCTGTCCGACAAAACATGCCGCAGTTTCTGACAGTTGCCAAGCTCGTAGCGTCACTGAACGTGCGATCGCTTACGTGTGTCAACTCCCCTTTCTGCAAGTGCGGGCACCTGGTTTGTTGAGCAGCGGGTTTACAATATCCCTTGTGTAATCCAACATGGATCCTGGAAAACAACGGGTTTGGAGGCAATTTTCCGGAACTGGCAGAAATGTGATGTCAATTCATGGAGATCTCCATTTTCCAGAAGGAAGGATACCTGCAAAATCCTGCAAATCTGCCATAGCTATGATGGAAAATCACTATTTTCCAAGACACCAGGAGTTCTTTTCTTTCATGACGATGCTTGCAGTAGTGTGAGGAAAGTTTTTAATAAGTAAATCATCTACAAACGGGCCATTTTCCATAGCTACCTTAGTCTACTGGAGGGTAAATCCCAATGAAATAACAAATTTCTGTAAATCATGTTAAATCACCATTTATAGTGGTTAAATATGGTTAATATCATATTAATGTGTGCCATTAAATCACTATTCGCCCACAAACTCCATGACCAAAAATCCAGCGGCAGGCATGGCTTTCAGCAAGATCCAGATGCCTTTGAACCTGAAACTCAGGTGCGACGGGCCATTCCCGACGGGCGAAATTCCCCCCGGAATTCGAACCTGAGAATCCCAAATTTATAGGGATTTTATGTTTTTCCCCACCTGCCAGGTGAGGGTTGTTAGATTTTATGTCAGTTGCTTCCTCCTCGTCCTCGTCCTCCTCCTCCTCGTCCTCCTCCTTCTCGTCCTCCTTCTCCTCCTCCTCCTCTCCTCCTCCTCCTGCTCAACCGCGACCCTCGACGCACAGTGGTCTCTGTCGGACCTCAACCACGACCATCCACGCCCAGTGTTCCCTGCCGGACCTCAACCACGACCATCCACGCCCAGTGTTCCCTGCCGGACCTCAACCACGACCATCCACGCACAGTGTTCCCTGCCGGACCTCAACCACGACCATCCCCGCCCAGTGTTCCCTGCCGGACCTCAACCACGACCATCCACGCCCAGTGTTCCCTGCCGGACCTCAACCGCGAGTATCCACGCCAAGTGTTCCCTGCCGGACCTCATGAGATATGCCAGATAGAATGCCAGAAGATATGCCAGATGGAATGTCAGCTAGAATGCCAGAAGATATGCCAGATAAAATGCCATGAGATATGCCAGATAGAATGCCAGAAGGTATGCCAGATAAAATGTCAGATAGAATGACACAAGATATGCCAGATAGAATCCCAGAAGATTTGCCAGAAGATATCCCAGATAGAATGCCAGAAGATATGCCAGAACATATGCCAGAAGATATGCCAGATAGAATCCCAGAAGATTTGCCAGATAATATGCCAGAAGATATGCCAGAAAATATGCCAAATAGAATGCCAGAAGATATGCCAGAAGATATACCAGAAGATATGCCAGATAGAATGCCAGAAGATATGTCAGAATATATGCCAGAAGATATGCCAGATAGAATGCCAGAAGATATGCCAGATAAAATGCCATGAGATATGCCAGATAGAATGCCAGAAGATTTGCCAGATAGAATGCCAGAAGATATGTCAGATAGAATGCCAGAAGATTTGCCAGTAAGAAAATGTAAAAATGTCACGGTGGGGATCACACGAAGTAAAGTATTTGTTTTTTGTGGTGGTTAATAGGGACTAATAGGGATGGGGGAAATCTATAGGATATATTTGACCCTTCCAGTACAGTAGCAAAGATTTGGTGCTTTACCCCATGATGTTCTGCTGCTACCATTCTTGGTGTATTTGGCGGATAGATAGTCTGTGTATGTACACTACTTTATACTGGTTGGTGGTTTGGAACATTAATTTCATTTTTCCATATATTGGGAATGTCATCATCCCAACTGACTTTCACTCCATGATTTTTCAGAGGGGTAGGTATAGTATACCAACCAGCTATATATTTAAGTGTTGAACCCCAACCCCTGAGCCAAATTCTCAGGTACCGCAACAGCTTCATTGATGTGGACGACCAGGATGGTGACATGACTGGTGGATCTCAGGCAAGTGGACACGATGGGGATCGAGGACGTGCGGCTGGGAAATCCTTGGGGAATTTTCACCATTGGGAAAGTTATGTGAATTTAACCAACAAATATAGGGATACCCTCTGATTATGTCAAAATAGCTATTGAAAATGGCCCATTTATAGTGAGTTTTCCCATTAAAAGGGAAATTTTCCATAGTTAGGTGGCTGTTTACCAGAGGGTATACTGGATATACTATATCTGGTTGGTGGTTTGGAACCATGGAATTTGATGACTTTCCAGAAACAGTCGGGAATGTCATCATCCCAACTGACGAACTCCATGATTTTGCAGAGGGGTAGGTCAACCACCAACCAGATATTAAGATCACTGACATCAATATCCCATTTTCATGATCTCCCCATGGTTAAACCATTAAAAGCCTAGTCTAACCAGTATATACTTGGGGATGTTTATGGAAATTAATGGGATGTTAAGGCCCCGCACGTCCCCGCGATATGAAGCTTTCCAGCACAATTCATCGAAGTTTGGGGGATTGTCCAGCCATGTTTGGACGATGAGTGTCCCATTGGATGCCCTCTGGTAAACTAACATAACTATTTAAAATGGCCCATAGAAATAGCTGATTTACCTATTAAGAATGGTGATGTTTCATAGTTTTTTGTAAACATTTACCAGAGGGTAAATCAATTTTCAGGTTTCATGTTGAAGTCAGGGAGCATCAATTTCTAGTTTTTTATGTTTTTTTGGAGTAGATCACCGGTTAGAAAACAACAGGGAATATCATCATCATCCCGTGCTGGAATATGAATCCCAACATTTGCCTAACATCAATCACCCGGTTTTGTAGGTAAATATAGCAGCACCATGGGTTGCATAGGGATATGATCACCAGCCTTTTTTGCGCGGATCAGAGGTCCAGGATTCGAATTTTGCTATGTTAAGCTGGAATCAAAACCGGAAGGTCTGGAAGATCCAGAATTTGTTGTTCGATGTTTCTTCCCCAAGCTCCATTTTTCGTTGGCGGATGTTTCAGCTTCACATTTGATCGCAGGGCAGTTGAAATTGCCAAGTAGTTGGCGTTACAGTCTCGGGTCTCAGGTTGAATCCAAGGTGAGGACACAAAACATCGGCAGCTATTCACGTGCATTTCCATGAATTGGTGGTTACCCTCTGGTGAACTAACATAGCCATGGAAAATCAGCATTCTTAATGGGAAAATCCACTATAAATGGCCATTTTCAATAGCTATGTTAGTTTACCAGAGGGTAATGGATGATATTTGTCGCTGACGGGCTTTATAAGTCTTGAGAAAAAAAACAGCTGGAAGACCTCACCATGACCCCGGCACATCATGCATACCTATAGAGGTTGGTTGTTTCCTCAGCACCACTGGAATGGTATAAGATGGTATAAGGGTATTTTTTGGATGTCAATGAATGACACTTAACATCTGGTTATTTAACATCTATAAATGGGTCATTTTCCATGGCTATGTTAAATAACCAGATGGTAACATCACTTTGGCAACATGTGAAATTCAGGGGTGTCAGCTCTCAGCTCCGCACCACGCATATCCTAATGGCATCGCGCTCTCGAGAAATGATGGGTCCATGATGAACGAAAAACGTGGATGCAACATACCCGGCCTGGTAAACGTTTACGTAACTATGGAATATCACCATTTTTAATGGGAAAACACACTATAAATGGGCCATGTTCAATAGCTATATGTTAGTTTACCAGAGGGTAACCCTAGATTGTTTCATGGTACTGTAGGAATTTCAAATGTCAGGCGTCGTCACCTTTTCCGAAGCGGCGCCAGGTTCGCGCCAGCAGCACCCCGCCAGCGTTCTTGAGGACTTTCGAAGAGGTGGACGAGAACGAGGCCTCTCGGGCTCTTCACCGAAGATGGGGAGTTCATCTTGAGAAAATTGGAGGATTTTCCCATGGGGATTTGAGCGAGCGTTTTTTTTAAGGGGATGGAGAGAACATCGAGAACAGAACCAGGATTTCACCCAAAGAAATGGAGAGAACATGGGGGTTCCTGAGAAATGGGGGGATCATTGGATGTAAACCGACCGGGAAACGGTCGGTATGTTGTTTTCAAAAACAAATCTAATTTGAGCGTTCAAAACCCCGAAATGTCATTCCATTTAATCCTGGTTCAGAACGGGATTCCCCGGTTCTTGGATTATGACATAATCCCCAACAAAAATTGGGTAGTATAGTCCCCCAAATCATCAACCAACTGGGGTTTTGATGGTCCATGTTCATCCCGCAGCCCGCTCAGAACGGCCTGCGCTTCTATGTGGAGAATCTCTCGAAAAAGCTCCAGGTGGCACTGTTCGGCGATGTGTCCAGGTGTTTACAGCCAGAAATCCAAGAAGAAATGGATATAATATGATAATATGGGTATGGGTCAATACCTATAGATACATTTTTAGTGGGATGAACATCCATAAATCCCAGCTATTTTGGGGTTCACTAGGTACCAGGGTTTTGACCCATCCCCATATATGATATAATTGCATATGATAACCAGCTAACCAGCAAAATATAGAAAATTGTATCCCAATGGAACATCATATTTTTTGCGTAGATTCGGAGTGAGTGTTGGTTTTTTAGGATGGCTTCTTAAGTCATCCTATGACAGACCCTTCAGAAAGTCATCCTAGGTGCCAAGTTTTTTGGCACCACAACATGTAGATGCAGATAGCCTGCTGGAGTGAATATCTATGACTAGAGTAAATATCTATGACTATTTTGGGACGTCCCCGAAAGTCTGCTTATTCATTGGGAATTTTGATATGATAAATAGCAAATGAGAGGATCAGAGGATAGACATGGACCGGGTGATAGTTCACCATGAATAGAAAGAAATCATGTTGGTTACATCCCAATATCCGTAAGATACCTCCTTTTTTCCAAGTTGAATCCCCATTTTTGATGGTCATTTCCGCATTTCCTATGAAAATCCACGAGACATGCGACCTACTCTTCAACTCAGACTCGTCCGACAGGCTGAGGGCTATGATGCAGCTAGCCCCTCCGCGAGCACCGAAGAAGGTGCGGTGCCGCGGTGCGATCGGATAGGTGGTGGTCAGCAATCATGGGAAACGTTTGCAACACAAGCTGAGTACCCATAGGATCCATGTATGCTACATATGGTAACATTTACCATCCACATACCCCAAATGTTAGCATATATACCAGCACCATGGCTCCTATGGGTACATATCCAAGCAAAAAGTGATATATAGTATATTATAGTCCATTTACATACCCCATAATTGGGTTGCTGATCGTAGTTTTTTCGTCACGGGCCAAAACGTGGGCCCTGTACAGGACCCCTCAGTCAATCCCTACAAGACATACGTATATTTTGCTAACCTTTTCAATCCATTTGGGGCACTCCCCAAATCCCAACCAATCTTGGATAAACAGAACCATGCCCCTAGTGCTCCAAGCACCATCGAAGGTGTTTTGAAAAATACCACCCCCTGGATAAGGACACCCTTGGGTTGAGAGTTAGGTGATTTTCCACCGGTTATATCGGTTATATCCTCATATTTAGCAATTGGTTATAATAATGATCATGTTAATTCATGTTATATCCTTACATACACCTATATGCTCCATGGTGCTGGTATATTTACCTACATTTGCCCAACATCAATCACCCAGTTATGGTGCGGTAAATAATGGTAAATATACCATACAAGGTGGTGCCCCATAGTTAGCTAAGTTGGTTTATAACTCCAATAACTATGGTTTATGGCAGATATAACTATAGTTAATGGGGTTTATAAACCAACTTATAATTGGGGGGCACCATCCTGTACATGGAGCATCTGGGACACGTTGGTTCAATTCCTAAATCTATCGCGCCATCTCCCAATTCCTCAAGATTTCATCCCCCAAGTCCCCCTGGAAAGTGAAGCCAAAAAGGCACACCCAAGTCCTCCAGCGACGGTGAAGGTGAAGGCTGGTGCATGGGGATTGGACATAGTTCTGTGCTGATTGGCTGATAAAATCTGTGCTGAAAAAGGGAGAAAAAGGGTAAATTTCCTGATAATCTGATAGCTATATTAGTATCTTACTGGATATCTAATTGGATTATCAGATTATCAGGAATTTTACCAATCTGATAGCTAATCTGATAATCTGATATATCTCAAATTAGCAGATATCCAGTAAGATCCAGCTAAAACAAAGATGGAAATTCCACCATTTGTAGATCATGTCATGGGGTTTTCCCGATGGATTTCCGTTGCCGCAACAACAAAGCCGAAGAGAACCAGACAGACCAGGCGCTGAAAAATTGATGTGACCTGGCAAGGGATGATTCTGAGTTGCCCAGAAGATTCTATTAAATTCTATTTGTTCAAACTTGATCTGATTTAGTGGGTCATCAGTTGCACTGAAAAAGTCTAAAAACGGATGCACTTGGCTTGATCATATATTTGATCATTCGAGGATGGTTTATGCCTGGACCCCGATGTTTTTCAGGGTTTTGACGCTTAGATACGCTTTGGGTGGTAGAAGGAGCCATTTCAATAATTAAATTACTTCAAGTTACGTCTGGTTTGTGCATGAATTTGCCCAGATATAGCCTTTTGGCATGCCAGGAATTTGTTTGTTTTGCATCTGTCGGTTGAAATTCGCCAACCCCAACTGCTCAACTGCCCATTTTAAACGGTTGGGACATGGTAACGGGTAACCCTTAGCGGGGCGTCGGAACCAAAATTAGAAAAACTCCATGTTCGCTGCAGATGTTTTTTCCAGATACCATCTGGTTATTTAACATAGCCATGGAAAATGGCTCATAGAAATAGATGGTTTATCTATTAGAAATGGTGATGATTTTCCATGGCAAAGTGGCAATGTCGTTTAACCAGATGGTATATCTGCCCCAAATCTTAGTGAAGTAAGCCACCTCACCCAGCATCGCAGGTTGGGTTTCGTCTGATGGGCGTCCAATTTTGCCCAGCACCGGAAGTCTGGGTCACCCCGAGGTCGCAGAAGGGACGTCGATCTGGATGCCCCCAGGTGTTTCGAAAAGTTGGTGAAAGATCCGTAGTGTTTTTTTTTCCGGATTACCCTCTGGTAAATAAACATAGACCCTGAAAATCACCAATTTTTAATGGAAACTAGTCTTCGAACCCCTATCTGCCAGGGTCTATATTAATTTACCAGAGGGTATAATGCACGAGATTTGTTTTCATATATCTTTTTGGCTGTGCTATAAAACACTGCGGGATATGTGTGTGTGTGGCATTTCGGAAAATAGTTGAGATGTGGAATATCTCATTGAACATTTGACAAGGTCAAGAGGATGCCAAAGGGCAGCGTAACTTGGGTGATGTTCAAATTGTCGGTGTGACCAGCAAGAATGCGGACACAAATACAGTAATAAATGGGGAGAACAAACCAAGGAATCAGAAAAAAACTAGTCTAGACTAGTCTTAGTCCAGACTAAAACGATAATCGGCAGAGTCTACAGGGATCGCAAAGACATTTAAATTTAGAGTTGCTGAGAACGGGCCCCAACATAATGTGAAAAGTTGCTTGGTGATTTCCTAAACAGAATACGTCAACCGTCGGTTGACTTTCAGATTGTTTAGGATTGTTGGCTCAACCACGAAGCAGTATTTTAAAATGGATTTTAGTATCCCTGTGTTAAGGATTCCTATGTGGCTCAATCCACTTTCACAGGATTTTTTCATGTATGTTACCATTTTTTTCGTTTGATTAGTATCCCATTGGGTTCGCCTTTTTTCCCTGGCTTCGAGCCCTATTCCAAAAACCAATTCTCCCAGTGTATAGATGAACTTTTGGAATTTTCGGATAGGTCCCATTTTTCATGGATTGATGGTGTCCCCAGCTATTTTTCACAAAATGGCGATGTTCAACATCAAAAGTCATGCCTTGTCCATCTTTCGGCTTGCTTCCAGCAAAAGCCCAGCCATGGGAGTTTCATGGCAACCCCCGCGGCGCCGGGCACATCCGGGCACCCGGCACCGTCACAGGTCTGCCGCCGTCCGTGCATCTACTTCTTGGCAGGCCACTGTGCCAACGGCAATCAGTGCACCTATTGCCACCTTCCTCATGAGGAACCTTGGCGGGAGCATGATGGTCTTGGCGACTTAGACCAATGGTGAATGTTAGTCCCAACATCAGGTCATAGTTACTTAGTTGAGGATATTTGATATGTTGTTCCACTGGTTGATATTGCTAATATCCCCAAAGTTGTTTAAGGATTCCTGTTGCTTACGGGTACATGTTTCTATTTCCATCACATTGTCACTATCCTATACTGTACAACTTGAAATTGCCAAGCAATCAGGTGGTATTCACCGAGCATGTTCCCATAGTTTTGTTGGTTATATTCCACATGTTCACGTATTTGCATTATTGTGCATTGTCGATGACTATAATATATTATATAATGCATTTGTTTATGTATGTATGTAAGGTAATGTTATGTTATGTTATGTTATGTATGGATGGATGGATGTAGGTAGGTAGGTAGGTAGGTAGGTAGGTAGGTAGGTAGGCATGTAGGTATGTATGTATGTATGTAGGTATGTATGTATGTAATGTAATATAATGTTTTGTTATGTTATGTTATGTTATGGTATGTATGTATGTATTTATTTATTTACTCTTTTTTTATGTGTGTATTTCTCAAGATGGCGGTTCTACAGGCTTCCATGTAATTTTAAAGTCTCATGACATGGATGATTTGGAACACATCATTATTATCATATACATATTGCAATATTTATATGTAACATACCCATATTATCTAATCTAATCTATCTATCTATCTACCTATCTATCTATCTATCTATCTATCCATCTATCCATCTATCCATCTATCCATCTATCCATCTATCCATCTATCCATCTATCCATCTATCCATCTATCCATCTATCCATCTATCCATTTTCCATCTATCCATCTATCCATCTATCCATCTATCCATATATCCATATATCCATACTATCTTATCTATCTTATCTATCTTATCTATCTTGTCTATCTTATCTATCTTGTCTATCTTGTCTATCTTATCTATCTTATCTATCTTATCTATCGATCTATCTATCGATCGATCTATCGATCTATCGATCTATCGATCTATCTACCTCTCTATCTCTCTATCTATCTATCTATCCATCTATCTATCTATCTATATATCTATCTATCTATCTATCTATCTATCTATCTATCTTATCTATTTTATCTATCTATTTATCTTATCTTTTTTATCTATCTATCTATCTATTTATCTATCTATTTATCTATCTATATTTATTTTTTTTTCTTTCTTATCTATCTTATCTATCTTATCTATCGTATCTATCTTATCTATCTTATCTATCTTATCTATCTTATCTATCTTATATATCTTATCTATCTTATCTATCTTATCTATCTTATCTATCTTATCTATCCTATCTACCTTATCTATCTTATATGTTTTATCTATCGTATCTATCGTATCTATCTTATCTATCTTATCTATCTTATCTATTTTATCTATCTTATCTATCTTATCTATCTTATCTATCTATCTATCTATCCATCTATCCATCTATCCATATTTCCATCTATCCATATATCTTATCTATCTTATCTATCTTATCTATCTTATCTATCTTATCTATCTTATCTATCTTATCTATCTTACCTATCTATCTATCTTATCTATCGATCTATCGATCTATCTATCTATCTACCTATCTATCTATCTATCTATTTATCTATCTATCTATCTTTCTATCTATCTACCTATCTATCTATCTATCTATCTATCTATCTTATCTATTTTATCTATCTATCTATCGTTCTTTCTTTTTTTCGTTCTGTCTTTCTTTTTCTTTTTTTTCTTTCTTTCTTTCTTTCTTTCTTATCTATCCTATATATCTTATCTATATTATCTATCTTATTTGTCTTATCTATCTTATCTATCTTATTTATCTTATCTATCTTATCTATCTTATATATCGTATCTATCCTATCTACCTTATCTATCTTATCTATATTATCTATCTTATCTATCTTATCTATTTCATCGATCTTATCTATCTTATCTATCTTATCTATCTTATCTATATTATCTATCTTATCTAGCGTATCTATCTTATCTATCTTATCTTGTCTATATTATCTATCTTATCTATCTTATCTATCGATCTATCTAGCGATCGAGCTATCTATCTATCTAATTATCTATCTATCTATCTATCTATCTATCTATCTATCTATCTATCTATCTATCTATCTATCTATCTATCTACCTCTCTATCTATCTACCTCTCTATCTATCTATCTATCTATCTCTCTCTCTCTCTATCTATCTCTCTATCTATCTATCAATTTATCTATCCATCCATCCATCCATCCATCTATCTATCTATCTCTTGCAATAAGGTATGATAGACCTAGACCCTCCTTAAATAGCCCAAATAGGCGGGGTCAAAGATGGTTCTCAGAGGTACCCAGCTCAAAAAAATCCATGGAAACGATCATCCCGCAACTCAAGGAGAAGACACCAAAGCTTGACAAGCGACAACGCACCATCATGCAGGCGACGGAACGTGGTGTGGAGTTCGGAGGAACCTTTTGTGTGGAGTTGCTGATTGGACCCCATGTGAATGAGGTCCGGAAAAAAAAAAAACATTGCATCACATTGCTGGATATGGCCTCTAATAAGGAAGTGTTTAAGGGTAGTTGGTTTATTGAAAGTGCTGATGTTCCACAGCTATCTTAGTTTACCATATAGTTTACCCATGGATAGCATGTGTGAAGTTCCATGCCAACCATGGTGGAGGGTTTTTGTTGTGATGAAGCGACAAGCAATGGGAGATAGTCAGCTGAAATTGGTGCAGAAGCAAGTGAGGTCTAAAGTATATATAATATATTATATATATATTATACAGTATATCAATCCCAGTATTGGTGTAATAATTCACTGGAAAACCATGAACATCTTTGGGGGTCAACATCATTTCCGATGGGTTATATAACCGGTAAAGCTGTTTTTGGTTTTGGTTCCCCAATATGATTGGTTTAAGGGAACATTTACAGGAAACCCCCATATTTAATGGTAAAAACCATGGTTTCCGGTGACTTTTTTCCCTTCAACCAGTCCATTGAGCCCATAGAAAATCCCGTGAGTTTCTCTTGCTGAATGTGCCCAAATCGTTGCATCAATTTGTTGGGAAAAACCAACACGTCCCGACCTCAGAAACAAAGCAACATTTTTGTGATGATTCCCGTCTTAAATGATATTTCCACGATATTTCCATGATATTTCCATGATATTTCCATATTCTTAAAGTGTTTTTTCTTCATATATCTATGAAAGGCTTGCTTCAGCATTTCCAAAAGTTGATACCGACGCTCTCCATTGGTGAATCAGCCGTTTTTTGCAGACCTCATTTTTCGCCAGGAAAATAATGTTCCTTTCTTATCCCATAACAAATCCAAAGTATCATGTTTGGGAACATTATCAACATGAAAATTCTTGGATTTCTTGGTTATATAACGTTTTTTAAGGTTTATGGGTGGTGTAACTATATTCTTCATGGGGTGAAACTAGACCAACATTAGCATTTCTGGGGGGGCCACTTAGCATTTCTTTAAATACCAACCTCACGTCATGCCGCAATCGTTCGGATGGTGTAACTATCCCCCTTAAGACCTGAGGTTGGTGATTTTCCCAGCGGAGGAAAAACGCTCCGTTGATAGGGATTTACAATTGCCATGTTTGATCATCCGAGGGTATATCAAGAATCCAATGTATCAACTCACTATATTCCATTGTCAACATTCTCTCCAGTGTATCCCCATCATATTATATTATATATATATATTCCCATAACATGTATGTGTGTGTGTCCATTTGCCTCATTTTTCTTGGTTTATGGGGTTTATAAACCAACTTATAAGATCTTATAAGCATATCCAAGTTAAACAATAACTCGTTTATACAACCTCTGCTTAGTGACTTATAATCAGTTATAACATAACTTCCCTGAAAAAGATGCCGCAAAGGTTAGATTATCCCCACTTGAGTGGGAGTTTAGCAACTTCTATCAACTTTTGGGGGGTGATTCCTGTAAACCAAGTCCATCACATCATATCCCATTCACATCCAGTTGTCATAGAAAAATCTCGGATTGAACTTCAGGAAATTTTCATTGCATAGTTATCCCCAAAGCAGTTAAGTTGTAACTTGTATATAAGTTTATACGTATAACTACAACTACAAACTATTTGTTTTTTTAACTATAGACAATAACAATAATTTCATATCCCATAAGAAATATCCCAGCAGTATATTGCAACAATCATAAGTAGTGCTATAACTGTTCTATGAAATATATTAGTTCATAGTTCATACTCTTATAAACCGTATATCCCCATGTTTCAGTTACAACTATGATTCATATAGCTTCATAGCTATTGCATACCCAAGTTATATAAGATAGTGCATTTTACATCCCATAAGTTATATTCAGTTATAACACTGATATCCAATAACTCATAATTGTATATAATTGTAGTTTATAACTCCCACTAGCAGTTATCATCCACTTATATCAATGGACATTTCAGGGACCTAAACTGGAGGTACTGCACCAGATAAAGCAATTTTTTGTGGGGTATATCCCCTTACATAGCTCTTACATAGGCCTATACATGGTAGGTACCTGGAATTTAGTTCCCTGAAATGGCCAATGATTATACTGTGCTTTATTACAACTATATAATCATTACTGATTGTGGATCCAGTTGGATCATTATACTATAAGATTATCCAATCATGATCATTACAATTGTGGTTGTATGTTGTTGTGTTGTAGTATACTAACAGTCATTATACGCATATATTATTGTATATAATGCAGTATTGGATGAGCCAAATGTGGTATGATAAGATCATTATAACATAATATAGTCAACATAGTTGCTTTCACTGTCCAGTGAAATGATACGGAAATTACTGGATATAACCATGATATAACATAATTTATATCAACATAGCTCATGTCATTTTCCACAAGTACAGTGTTATCCAGTGTTATTCCATATGTACATATGGAGCTTTCCTAAAATAGGGGTACCCACAAATCATCAATGTTAATAGAATTTTCCATTATAAACCCTCCATTTTGGGGTACTTCCATTTGTGGAAACCTCCCCAAAAGTCATGAAAATTCCTGTGGAAACCAGCCAGTTAGGTTTGATTCAGCCTAATCCATTGATATCATTCTGTTTTAGTTTATATTTCTTAACCATCCAATTATGGAAACCCCATATGTATATGTGTTATTTCTGTATGTATATATATAGAACTATCACAATGTATATCAATATGTATTTATATATATATACATATAGTTAACTTTAACATTGTTAACATTGATAGTCTAGTGATATTCATAATACCCATAATAATCTGGTTGGTGGTTTCAAAAATGAATTTTATTTTCCATCATATATGGGATTTCCATCCTTCCCATTGACCAACTCATATTTTTCAAAATGGTTAAAACCACCAAACAGATATTAAGATCATTAACCAGATATTAAGATCATTAACCATCAATATGCCATAATACTCACAATAGCGGTTAACTCGTTAAACCACTAATGGTCAACTCAATTATCCAGTCTCCACCCGCTCGGAGCCCAGGGCTTGAGCCGCCGGGAATTGCTGGCGCTCGTCCTGCACTTCTGCCGCTTGAAGGCGGAACAGGTGCCGGCAACGCGGGAGTTGGAGAGCATTTTTTCAGGATTTTCGGGTGATTTAATGGATATTCCATTAAATTAATGGATATTAATGGATATTAATGGATATTAATGGATATTAATGGATATTAATGGATATTTATTAGGGATTTAATGGAGATGTTTAGGGATTTAATGGATATTATTAGGGATCTAATGGTGATTTACAGGGATTTTCTCGGGAATTCATGGGGTGTTTCCTCATTATCAGGATTTAAGCATCCAAGAGTTGGATTTCATGTGATGTAAGTGACTACAATTCACTAAAAATCAGGATTTCATCTTGATCACATCATGTACTTCAGGTATGAGTGAATAATGATGATTGAAATTAGAATCACAGGTGCTCTCCCCTGTTTTTAGAGTCCAGGCTAATAACTTCCGGTTGACATTATTGAGGATTCAACCATCAATAAACATGGGATTGGTGATTCAAGTATATTCTTGTGAATTTGTCACTCAAATCAGGATGTAACCATCAAAAAAAGGGAGCTGCATTTAAGTTCACGAAGGTTTTTCAGCAACGAAAAATGTAGATTTAACATCACTTACCCTCTGGTAAACTAACATGACTATGGAAAATGGCCATTTATGGTTGATTTACCTAGTAAAAATTGTGATTTTCCATAGTTTTTTGTGTTTTTTTTTCCAGAGGGTAGATATATCAACGAACAGGGATTCAACTGATTAATCCCTTGAAGAAAATATTTTGCCATCAAAATAGGGAGTTAACCAATCAATAACGGAGATGGTTCATACCGGCAAAGAATAACATGCTGGGTTTTACAGATAAGAAATGGTCCAATAGGCCTCCATCACTAATAGGGGGGTATTGAGAGATAATGACATGTATCACTATATATATATATATATATAACATGAACATACCCTCCTGAAATCAACATAGCAATGGGAAGTCCCACATTGATCGATTATTTTTCCATTAAAGTCAATCTGTTTGGCCTGTCCTTAGGCTAATCCCCAGAAAAAGTGCCATCAGTGGGCCAATGATTTAGGTTTCAAGACACTGGGACGGAAATGGGTGCCCTACTCTTGAACAAAACCTCGTCGCAACTTCACTGGCCAAAGTATATGATGGTGAATGGAAAGGGTTTTCCAGAAATCACGTGATTTCAGATTCGTACACTTTGCCCAGATCACAACACTGTTCCTATGATTTTAGGAAAAAGAGAACGCACAATTATGTATAAACTGACATGTTATTGTGAATCCTTGAGTCACAGAATACAATGCCATGAAACATGGGTCTTAAGCATACCAGAATTCAGGTTCCAACAGATGAGGGATCTACAGTAACCTCCACAGCACATATTGGGATTTTCTTTGAGATTTATCACCAGACATTTCCTATTTTTGACTTGAAAACATGATATAATCCAAATGACATATGATGATTGGCCACTCGCTTGGGATGCTTTATCGTTTGCACGCCTCAACATTGCTTCGTCAGAAGTCAGCAAAAACTGCTGATTTCAGTCCGAGCCATGCTCGGACATTTACCATCTTCCTTGTCGAGATCATCTCACATAGTTTGAACATGTTTGAACCAAAGCTTGGGTGGTGACCCATGCAACCCATTTACACATTTGGAGTTTCAATTGTTTACCTCTCAGGTACTGTATGAAAGTGGTACCCGAAAGGGCAATATGATTAACGCACATGAACACTAGAGATACAAACTCTAACGTACAATACAATATACATCAATGGCCGCCACTGGAATTACAGTATTTGAATGTATTTGATGTATTTTGATTTTTTTGGATGATTCTTGTTAGTTGCTTTCCAATTTTCACCTATTCCATGCGGTTTTCGGGGTTTGTCTGAAGAGTTTGCGAAAATGCGAAAATCCCCAAGTTCATTGTTTAAAACCTCAATTTCTCTGTTGGAATGCCATGAATTGTGGCTGTTTACCCCCATTTTCAAGCACACCCAAATAACATAATGTTGATTATGTATCCCATGATTAATCCCGTGAAATTTACTTTATATTACCATAATATCAAAATGATGATTCCGTTAAAGCTGTATATATATGTCCAATGAAACACATTAGCCAGGCCGGAATCACCTACGAAGCTCAAGAGGTGTTGAACTTGATGGAGGCAGCGCGGGCACAGAACATGTTCCTCTCCACCTTTTCGGTGGAAATATGGTGCCTTCACCAGCTATCATGTGGTTTCCCCCTGTTTTTTATGTTTTGCGTGGGGGGGCATAGATTGCTCAGACTTTTGGGGAGATCAATATAAGATATTGCTCCCACCCAGATTTGATGGTTTCTTATTAGTTTCCCTTCTAAACTTGCCGCCCCATTTTCAGACACACGTAAATATGAAAATCAACTTGGTTATTCCATAGAATATTCCATCGATATGCCCCTTACCAGCCCATTTAAATGGCTATAAATCCAGATATTTGCTGATTAATCCGCAAGCCCGTTTTCATACCCAATGAATACCACAGTATATCCCTAGAAAACCAATAAAACCATGATTTCATGGCTGTTTAGCCCAAATGATATCCCCAAACGCAAGATACCCATGTTTAATATCCTAAGATTTCCCATGAAACCATGTGGTTGGTGGTGACTGGAACCATGGAATTTTGAATGACTTTCCATTCAGTTGGGAATGGAATAATCATCCCAACTGACCAACTCCATCATTTTTCAGATGGGTAGGGCTCAATCACCAACCAGCATAACTGTGGAAAATCACCATTTTTAAATGGGAAAATTAACTATTTCTATGGCCATTTTCAATAGCTTTTTGTATGATGACCAGAGGTATACCACCAACCAGTCATGGTTTTGAATGGGTTAATTCACAATGAACCGATTCTTGTTACATGCCACCCTCCCCCAGCTGCAGCAGGAGGAGGCAGCTGGAGCCCCCTCCCTGTCTGCGTCTATCTCGGAACGCGCCCGGGGGCTCAGCCCTGGAAAAGATATAAGTTGATCACTATCCATTCACTATCCCATTCAAAACAGTCGTAAAATGCGGGTTTAGTGTTTGGTTGGTGGTTTGGAACATGAATTTTATTTTTCCATATATTGGGAATGTCATACTCCCATTTGACTTTCATATTTTTCAGACGGGTAGTTCTACCAACCAGATATGGTTTCCGATGGTTTCTACCTTTTTTTTTTGCAGCTTACGACGCTTATGTCATATCCCATTGGATCCATGTATGCTATATATGGTAACATTTACCATCAATATACCCCCAATGTTAGCATATATACCAGCACCATGGATCCTATGGGTATGTCAATTCTCATGGCAGAACGTTGACGCCGTTGACGCAGGACGTGCGCAATCTTCACAAGACCTTGGCGCGAATGAATTTCTCCAACCTCATTGGTGCCTGGGGCAGGATTGAAATGAATCATATGCCTAGCTGGATATACCTGGATATATATATATAATTTGTACTGTATCACTGTATAAAAATATTATGTTTGCTAAATATATATATATATATATATTGTTGTACATGCGATTCTATTTGATCGGACAATCAACATGGTTGAATTCCAACAAGATAAGAATCTCAATGGTCTGAATTTCACCAGAAGGTGGTACCTCCCAGGTTGCCATCGGTCTCCGTGACCGCTTACCGAGGCTTGGTCACCCACCAGTCTCCCAGCAGGGCCAAGCAGACGCCTGAAAGTGCCGAGAAGTTGGCTGATGCTCTGGAGAGGCGACACCTGGGAAGCGTCCGGGACGCCTGGGACGTTGGTATGACATCCATAGGAAAAAATGACTTTGAAATGTCATGAAATGTCAGAAATGTATAGAAAATGTATAGAAATGTCATGAAATGAATATTTCAGAAATGTATAGAAATGTCATGAAATGTCAGAACCATTTCTGGGATTCCCTGAATTTGGTAGGGTCAAAATCCTTTGGAGAGGAGGTCGAACATCAGCCACATCAGTCGAGAAACCAAGAAAGATAAGACTGATAAGACCTAATTATATATTTGTAATTGTCGGTCATGCCTTTGTGTGAGTGATAGAGAGACTTGGCTCACACCTATCCCAATAGTTTACATGGTTTCCTCCTTGCTGTTCATGGGCTGGTCCTTACCTTGCTGTATCATATCATACCGTATCATATCATATCATATTCTATTGAAGTGTATTGACACACACACATATATAATTATATATATATATTATATATATATATTATATATTATATATATATATATTATATATATATTATATATTATATATATATATATTATATTATATTTTATATTATATATATAGAATACTATATAGCCCCAATTCTGAATATATAATTCTCTTGTACCCTCCTGTCTTCCCATATCTTCCCATTAATGCGCCGGGACTTGCTTCAAATCCTCATGGGAAGATCACCCATTTTTCATCCCATCCAGGGGGGACTCAGTCCTTAAACACCGCCCAGAAACCATGGTGGATGTAGGTCAATGGGAATCTCAGGATCCTAAAATGGAGCTACCTACCAGAAAAAAAGGCCTATTTTTGAGGCCTATGTAAGGGGATATACCCCCAAAATATGGCCAGAAATAGGGTACAGTACCTCCATTTTAGGATCCTGGAATTCCCATTGAGTAGGGTATTTACACGTATTGACCGTGGAGGGGGGGGTGCCCTACGCTGGGATGAGATGAAACCAACGACATCCCTCAAGGATCACCATGAGATTGCAGGCTGCGTGGTCATTTCGTCCAGCAGGAACAGTGAGAGACGGTCAGCTAGACGCGACTGATGGGTGGCTACTGGAGGATCTGGCTTCGCACACAGCGTGCGCCCAGTTTCAGCTTCCTCTGAAGTGCATAGGAACAGTGAAGAGAATTGAGGCAACACACTGAGTAAACTGCCGAAGGGATATTTTGGGATAAAAGCATGGATCAATAAAGTAGAAATACATGAACGTAGAATGGGAATATAACTCCTCGATAATTGGAATGTAATGGGATGAATAATCTGCAGAAGTTGCATCTTGTGGAGAACAACAAAATTCACCTGATTTTGGGTGCCCATGGCTACCCTATTATTCAGCCCAGCTACTTGTAAGAATCGTGTTGTTTGTGAGGAAAGATTTGCCACCATCAAAAAGAATAACGGTGATATGTCAACTTGTTGGTTTTCGACATTCAGGATTGCCTAGTGTGACTCACATGAATACATGCGAGCTATGTATATATAATTGTATTATTAAATTATGTATAGACCAGAATTTGACTCATAAAACTGGTAGTTGACCATGCACACAAGGGGCAATTATTTGGTTTCTAGGATTCTAGGCACGCGCCAAAACAAAAATTCTCAGACAGGTGATGTTATCTAAAGGATACCAAAAAAACTGGGGTTGATGATGAACATATACGTATTAAAATTATCCCGGAAAGAGACCGCAAACAGTGTGGATGGAGTGGGAGGATAATGTATTCTAATGTATTCTAATGTTGTTGTTGTTGTTGTTGTTGTTGTTGATGATGATGATGTGATGATGATGATTATGATGATGATGATGATGATGGTGAAGATGATGAGGTTGAGGATGATGATGTTGAGGATGTTGAGGATGTTGAGGATGTTGAGGATGTTGAGGATGTTGAGGGTGAGGATGATGATGTGGAGGAGGAGGAGGATGAGGAGGATGAGGTTGAGGATGATGATGTTGAGGATGTTGATGGTCACGAGGATGATGTTGAGGAGGATGAGGATGATTATGCGGAAGATGAAGTGGAGGATGATAAGGTGGAGGATGATGATGTTGAGGATGAAGAGGTTGAGGATGATGATGTGCAGGAGGATGAGAACGAGGATGGCAACGCGGAAGATGAAGTCGATGAGGACAAGGTGCGGGATGATGATGTTGAGAAGGAGGAAGATCATGATGATGAGGATGATGATGTTGAGGAGGATCAATGACGACGACGACGACGACGCGACGACGGCGACGACGACGACGAAGACGACGACGACGACGATGACGACGATGATGATGATGATGATTTGTGATGGTGATAGTGATGGTGATGATGATGATGATGATGTTGATGATGATGATGAAGAGGATGATGATGATGATGAGGAGGAGGAGGAGGATGAGGATGAGGACGATGATGATGATGATGATGGTGATGATGATGATGCTGATGATGATGATGACGATGATGATGACGATGATGATGCTGCTGATGATGATGATGCTGGTGATGATGATGACGATGATGATGATGATGATGGTGACGATGATGGTGATGATGGTGGTGATGATGATGACGATGACGATGACGATGGCGATGACGGTGAGGATGATGATGAGTGTGAGGATGGTCATGATCGGCCCAGAACCTATAGGACCACACTTTGTGCGAGTCTGCGCCGTCGAAACGCATGTCAGCATTTCACAAGAGCCACTTTATGCGGAAATTTCTAGGAAAAATCTCGTGCCAGAATGATCCCAGAACGCGGACACACACTTTGTGCGAGCCTGACACACACGTCAAGATTTCATAAGAGCCACTTTATACGGAAATTTACAGAAACAATGCCGCGCCCCAGACTCGCGGCCCACACTTTGTGCGAGCCTGCGCAGTCGAAACGCAGGTCAAGATTTCACAAGAGCAACTTTGCACGGAAATTTAGATGAAAAATGCCGTGCCCCAGACCCGCGACCTACACTTTGTGTGAGCCTGCGGAGTCGAAAAGCATTTCAACATGCCACAAGAGCCGCTTTATACAGAAATTTACAGGAAACATACCGCGCACCAAAACCGCGGCCCACACTTTGTGCGAGCCAGCGCAGTCGAAATGCGTGTCAAATTTTACAAGAGCCACGCACTTCACACGGAAATTTACAGGAAAAATGCCGCGGCCCAGCTGGAGCACCCTGATCAAGCACCGGCGTTTACGTAAAAACCCCTCAAATTACCTCTCGTTTGGAAGTCTTCTGCGGAATTATGCCGGTCGGTTTTTAGGGTAAAGGACATTTCATAACGATTTTTTTTTTTTCAAAACCGTCGCCGTTCCAATGCAGTGTAGCAGCCCAGTTTTTCAATTTTCGCGACTGCAGAGGCGGTGCTACCGAAATCGCCAGTCTGCAGAAGTCGTGACGGTCGCAAGCTGAATGGAGTTCACCCCTTCACGGCCTCGATGGGCTGACGGCTGATGGGCCGCTCTCGGAGTCTCCTTCAGCTTGTGGCAATGCGTACACGGCAAGGATGGTAGAGATAGACATACACAGACGGGTTGGTGTTTGAGCAAAGATCGCAAGGCAAGAGTTCCTGGTCGAATCCGAGCGTTGCCAAGTCCTGGCCGGCAAATGTTTTTCAGAAAAGATTCCAATGACCAAACAAATACTTTACGGGCAGTGGCTTAAGCAACAACCGCTTAATAGAATGATTTCCCTTCAAAACAAGATCCCAGGAACACTTTCTGATTGGCGTTATGTTATTTCTAAACCCCCTACAGAAGTCCTTCAGATATGGGTAGGATTTGCCTGGATGATCGTCTCTTGATGCAGGGGTTTATTACTCCTCTTTGGAACATGTTTCACCAGGAGGATTCTGGTGACCCAAGCAACTCATCGTTCTAAAGAACAGTCAACAACTGATCATCAGGATATCAGTCATATTATATATATATATATATATTAATATGGTTTGAGTTCACTCTTTAATGCGTATCTGGTTGGGAATGCCGCCTTTGTGTACTCAAGTTCTTAGTTCCCCCGATTCGTTAATGGAGTATGCCATAGTTGGTGGCATTGGTGCCTTTGGCTTGGGGTGGTTGGCTCGTGGTAGCCCGGTGCCTCCACCCAGCATTCCTTGTGCGTGCACCTGCAATTGTCTATCAGCAGAAGTACCTCCAGCTGCGAATCTGGGCTGGTGGGCAGTGGTGGGCCTTAGCCTTATCGTTGGTGGCCTGGGACTGGTGTGGCTTGTAACCAAACAGCAAGTTGTGATTTCCACCCCGGATAAGGGCTCTAGAAAAGGGTCGAAGGGAGTATTTGGCTCCACTGGAAAAGCTCTGCCTTTGACATTCTGAGCTTACCATGGAGTCTGGACATATCTGCTTCTTGGACTATGATGAGCGACCCAAGATTTGGCACACTAGAGTGCTACTTGCGCCTACCACTGCTGATTGTTGGGTGATTTTGACCCCGGACCATGACATATACGAAGAACAATTGAGCTTGGGAAACCCAGACGTCATTGATTTTCACTATGGGGGTGCTGATGGGAACTTGGCCCCGCGAATTGCTCCTGCCAGTGTGTATTCTTTTCAGCCTTTGACTCCAGCCGAGCTTGCCCAATTCGTCCTGCAAGGGCGTGTTCAAGCGAATGCCATCCGTGCGGTGGCGGGGTTGCCTCCATTGGGGCCTGGTGGCCATGCGGCTCCTGGTCCTCCAGTGGCTGCGGTCCCTGCTCCCCCGCCGGTCGTGCCGGCTGCTGGCAATGTGGAGGACACATGGATTGCAGCAGATGATTGTGGTCGGTTCAAGCGTGGTGACATTGTGGTACAGGATCCTAACCCGCTGCCTCCTGGTTGTTTGGTGTTGGGAAACCGTGCGCTCATGACCTCAGATGCCATTACGGTTGTTCTCAAGAAGGTACCCGCTAGTGAAGTGTCAATGCATCGTCTTCAAGACCTTCGTATCCTTCCAGTTTCTTTTGATGCCCAGGGTCAGCGACGTAGAGAATTCAATACTGCTGTTAGTATCACGGATGGCACTGCACCCCAGGGAGGTGGACTTCAACTCAAAGGTCCCGCAACTGTCTTAAACATGTTGAAGGGGCTTCGAGATCAGAATTTCACTCCTGCTACGTATCATGAACACTGGGTGCGTGTTGGAGATATCCCTCGAGGGGACCGATCTGTGTACGAACACGAGTGTTTATCCAGGGTGCTCGAGGCGCTCATCACCATTGACCAGGTGAATGCCCCTGCCCTCCAGGGGGTAGAGCTCATCTGCCGCCGTCTTCAGGTGATCCGTGAAGCTCACCGTGTAAGCCCTGGACAACCGGACTACTCAGCTGCTGATCACATCATGGGCTGGAAGTATAAGCGGTCAGCTCAGATTGACATGGACCTAGCCCAGCACGTTGCCACGGAGCTCAAGAACGAGGCAGCGATTGCAAAAGAAGCTCGAAAAGCAAAGGAGGAACAATCTCTCAGGCGCCCGAATCCCAAGAAGAATGCCAAGGGTGAGGGCGCCAAGGATCAGTAGTCTTTGCTTTGGCCAAGCTCTGGTGGCCACCTGGGGCTTGGTCTGGGGAACCTTTTTTCGTGGCCTTTGACTCACTGCTTGCGCGTTTGGTGTAACTGGTGATTTTTCAATTCATATTGGGGTGATGATGGATGACATGCTGGACCACCGGGACCGTGAAATTTTCCATTGCCTCTCATGCCTGGGTGTAATCGTGTTCCCACTGGGAGTGTATCCTCGAGGAGACGCGTTGCCAGGGTGAAGAGGTTGGTCGAGGAATCCAACGAGGTTATCACATGTCTCAACGAGATGTATCATCCCTCCAAGATTTTTGATTCTGTTGGGCAACCCAGTACCTCTCAGAGGAGTGCTCAGCATGCTATTTTTTCTCAATTGGCTAGGCAAGAACTCCCAGCCGTCACTTGCAAGGTGCGTGAAGCTGCTCAAGAGCTTCTGCAGTCGAGCCTCTCCTATGCTGGGGAGGAGGCCGGATCCACGACAGTGTCCTACGATAGATGCCTGGTCTCGCTCCCAGATGTTGCTGCCCAGCCCATTGATGTTGCACAGGTTTTGGACGAGCAGGGCAGAGAAGTGATCGAGGACCCCTTCCATTGCATGATGTTGGGACCCCAGGAATGGGGGGTTTTGAAAGAGAAGAACAATCCTATCCAGATATACATGGACCCCAAGCTTAAGAACAACCTCAATGAATATTGTGTTTTCATCCATGATTTGTACGAGAAGGGAATGCTTCAGTTTACCTCACAACCTCGTGACATGATTTCACCATTTTTTGTTTCGAAGAAATCTGGTAAGCAACGTCTGGTGTTGGACTGCAGAGCTGTTAATCAACGATTTCGGCCACCTCCAAGGGTGGCGCTGGCGGCTGGCTACAGTTGGTCGAGATTGGAACTTCCTCAAGGCCAAACGCTATATACTGCTCAGAGTGATATTCGTGATTATTTCTATTCTCTGTCAATGCCAGAGCCGTTGCGTGAATTCTTCTGTTTGCCACCGATCCCACTTGCACTGCTTCGTGAATGGCAGGTTCCTTCAGAGCTTTGCAGTGATGTCCTCAGCTCCAGCGAGTGGGTTTGACCGTGCATGAAAGTGGTGCCAATGGGTTGGAATTGGGCGATGTGGATAGCACAAAGAGTTCACACAGAGCAAGTCCTCATTGCTACAGGTGTGAGCCCCGAGCGTGTCCTCGTGGACAATGCACCAGCGCCTCGGTTGGACAAGTCCTCAGTGATCCTTATTCCATATGCTGACAATTTGAATGTTTGTGGATTAGATCAGGGGTTGGTGCAACAGATGAAGGACAAAGCGGTCTCACATCTCCAATCTCTGGGTTTTCGTGTTCATGAGGAAATGGAAGCCAGTCCGAAAGTTCATTCCCTCGGCTTCGAGGTTGACGGGGTTGCTGGAGTAGTTAGACCCATCAAGGAGAAACTGACAAAGGTCATAGCCACTTTTCTTTGGATGTCGCGCAGGCCACGGTTGACTGGCCGAGCTGTGGAGAAGTTGATTGGGCATGCGACTCATTTCATGCTTTTGAGGCGAGAGTTGCTATCCATTTTCAGACATCTCTACACCTTCATCCAAACATGTTATACGAAGCGTACACGTCTATGGCCTGAAGCTGCCCGTGAGGCGAGGTGGGCTGCTTGGTTGCTGCGATTGTGCTCGGCTGATCTGAGAAAAACTTGGGACCGAGAGATCACAGCATCAGATGCCTCACTCTCTGGTATAGCAGTTTGCAAACGGTCTTTGGATGAATGTGACATACAGCAATTGGGTAAGTTCAAAGAGGCTTGGAGGTTCAAGGTGAAACACCCAAAAGATAGACCTCGTGATCAACTTAGCGATTCATTGGATCCTTTCAACGACATCGAATCAGTTCTTCCTGTCAACATGGCTGAATGGGATCCTTTTGAACTCGATTATTCTTTTCCTTCTGTATCGGATGATGTTGTCAAGCCTTCTGAGTGGTCCTTGTGCTTCAACACTCACATGCAGCTTCCTGAGCATATCACCCTTCTTGAAGGCAGAGGTTTTGTGGCATCAGTTCGACATAAGTTGCGTGCATGCTAGATCATTTGGCAAGCGACATGTTCACTTGGGCGACAATTTGGGCTTGGTTCTAGCAGCCGAGAAAGGTCGTTCCAATGCGTTCGGCCTGCTTCGTGTTTGCCGTCGTCTTTGTGCTCTTGTCCTGGCCTCAGACTGCAGCTTGTCATATCGATGGATACCATCCGAGCTGAATGTCGCCGACCATGCCTCTAGGCAATGGGAACCTCTGCGCTTGGCCCGTGATGCTCAGAGGGGTTCAAGGAAGAGTGAAGTCTCAAAAGCCGAGATTGATTCCAGGATCTACCCCAATCGATTCAGGGCTGGCAAATACCGAACAGCCGATGTTGTTGGGAGTGGATCAGGCTGCAGTGCACGATGGCCTGAACAGGTCAGCGGCAGCCCGGCTTCGACAACAGCTCAAAGCCAAGACCCGAGACGAGAGGAAGGTCAAGAGAACTCAGTTTGCCAAGGACAGAATTTCACGCCCAAGGTTCCCAGGTCAGTCTTTGTTGGAGCAGGAAGCAGTTTCAGACAGGGTAGCCGTCGATTACCAGAACAGGTACATGGAGTTTCAGAGGTTCAGCAGAATCCAGAAGATGTCATTACGGGGGTTAGTGAACTTAGACAAGGCCTTCGTGAGTTTTCTGAATCATATGTTTCTGGAAGGGGAAAGCGTTGGAGAAGCATCAAAAACCATGGCTGCCGTTCTAGATTGTCACCCAGAATGTGGCCGCAAGACAGCCCTCCTTCGATCGAAACGTTGTCTTCAGGGATGGCATCGATTAGACCCTCAACAGACACGTCCTCCACTACCTCTGCCCCTGGTTGCCCTGATCATTCAGGTGATGTTGGAGAGGAAGCAGCTGTTCGAGGCAGCTTC